GTGAGCGAGCTACACCTTCAGGTGAGCTAGGCTGTCTTAAAGGGAAAGACATTGTCAGGGGAGTGATGGAAAACTTTCAACAGAAAGGAAACGAGCAGTAGCGTTTGGACTGGTGGCTTGGACAGGCAATTGTTCAAGCACACTGCTGTTAATTTCTCAAAGGAGAAGCCAAATTCAAAGGCTATGTGTCGGATAAGGGGGGGGGCACAGCCCTGTTTTATTTATGAACTCAAGTGAAAGCCTCGAATTATTCATTCTTTTATTTTATTTATTTTTATTTGTCAATTGCTTACAAGATAATAGATATAAGTAAAAACATAGTTATGAATACATGGATACATATAAGAAAAATAAGAAAAAATATATAAAAGAAACAATAGGACAGGGACGGTAGGCAAGTTGGCACGCCCCCCACAGACCTCTTAGGAAAGGGGTGAGGTCAATAGTAGTAGGTTAAAGTTTTTGGGGTTTGGGGAAAAAACCACAGTCACGTAGAGTATTCCAGACATTGACCACTCTGTTGCTGAAGTCGTATTTCCTGCAATCAAGTTTGGTGCGATTAACCTTGAGTTTGTATCTATTGTTAGCTCTAGTGTTGTTATGATTGAAGCTGAAGTATTCATTGACAGGTAGGACATTGCAATGTATGATTTTATATACTATACTTAGATTCTTTTTCGAATCCTCTGGTCAGTTCCATTCCCGAACCTCGGTGGACAGCAGACTGGGTTTACTCCAAAATAAGGAGCGTCTGATAGGCGCATGGTTAAAGTTAGAACATTTACTTTTGCGGAACCGGGCTGAATTTACACATTTATACTGTTGGGGGTGATTTAATCGGAGTGTTGCTCTGACTATTCTGCAATTGGCTGAGTTTACCCCTTATATTAAAATATGGTTTGCAAACTATTTGCAAATTTTATATGTAATAATAAATTATAAGTAAATCTGGCCTTCTTCAGTATTCATACAAATCTAAGCTGTTAGTTTTTGAATAAACTATTATTATTGGCTGGGTCCACACAACAAAAATCAAGTCTCATCAAATCACATGATGGAAAATGAACCCCATTTGCAAATGCTCAAACAAATTCTGAGCTTGTTCAAATGCTCAGAACAAATTCATCATATGGCTTGTTTAAAATGGCCTATTGTATTATCCGAACCTAACTGCTGTGTTTTATAAGCTATGATTTAATGTGCCATGTGAATCTAAAAATCATGGTTAATGGATGATTCTAGGATGAAACAGACCTAATTTTTCAACTCTCTTATGTTACAGGCTGAATTCAAGAGAATCAGTAATTTGGTATTGGCCCATTAAGAGGCTATAAAGTGAAGGTTGTGAAAGATCTCAGGATCTGTATTTATAAAACATGAGTCTTTGACCCAAGTATACTTTAAGGCAACAATCCTAATAAAAGTGTATGATTTGAAAAGGGTATATTACCCTTGTAAAATGTGACACTTTCATAACTACATTCACACCCTGAGGTTGATAATTGAGGGGTAAAAGCTATGGATGATGAGTTTAATTAGAATGTATGTTCTCGTATAAAGTGTTGGCTATTCCCCCCAGCTTGATGTTAACTGCAAATTTGATGAGTTTCCCTTGTATCCTCTCATCTACATCATTAATGAAAATGCTAAAGGAGGAGTGTGAAACTGTTGACCCGCAGGCCAGATGCATCACATGTAGGCCACATCCACCCTGGCTCCGCAAAGGCAAAAAAAAGTGATGTATCATGTGATGTCACATGATGCAATCGAATTTGATGCCCGTGTGCTAAAAGTACTCGGCCTAAGACAAAATCTTGGGCTGCATGCTTCACTCCATGTACTGTACAAGTAATTCCATTTGGGACCATACATTGAGTGCAGTTGGTTAGCTAAGTTATTGGTGGTGATGCTGTCTATTCCATATTTTTCTGTCTTTCAAAGAAGTAGTTGTAATTTACATCTATTTAGCTCATAGCTGAGGGAAAAGAAATTATACAATTTCCATTCTCAGTTCTGAGCTAAATTTCTGTACCAAGATACAAGTATAATGGTAAATCATAATATGATTTCTTTTGTTGAGTCTGTTCTGTGAATTTAGCAATTGTGATTCGTTCAGTAAACCACAATTAAACAATTTGCTACAATATGTGAATCCACTTGCTAGCTGTGTGCACATGATTTATTTAGCTAAACTTTAACTTTTGCTTAACTAGTATGAAGACACTGGTATTATTTCTTCTTGTACATAATTGTTTATTTGTGGCATGCCTTCATAGTCAGTTTGAAAACAGACAATATAGACACTATAAACAGACACATACATTCTAATGAGAGAGAGGATGGGCTCCAGCACGAGTCCAAAAATCCAGAAGACAAACCTCTGGTCCTGGTAACTGATCAAGACTTGATACTGCAACATTATCCCGGGATACTTACTACATTTGCCTTCATTTGTGATAGATACTATAGGCCAGGGGTGTCAAACCTATGGCCCGTGGGCTAGATGAGTCACGTGCTGGTCACGCCAACTCCCAGTTTAGCAAAGGGGGAAAAAGTTGATATATCACATGATGATGTGTCATCATGAGTTTGACACCCCTGCTATAGGCAAATTTAATCAATTTATTCCAATCAATTGATTATAATGTAATATACATTTAACAGAAGTACAATATAGGTAGTCTTATGAGTACAGTTGGGACTGGTATTTCTGTCAATGTGGGATGGTTGTTAAGTGAGTCACATCCAGTTTTACTTTTTTTTAACTCAGGTTAAGCAGAATTTCAACCAGAATAACAGAGTTCGAAGGGACCTTGGAGGTCTTCTAGTCCAACCCCCTGCTCAAGCAGGAAATTATACCATTTCAGGCTAATACCATGTTTCTCATATAATAAGGCTGGGTCTTAATTTTTTTTGAGCCCTGAAAAAATGGCTAGGCCGTCTTTTCGGGGGTGACTTAATTCCCCCCCCCCTTGCATCTTCGGGCGGGCAGGCAGCGACGGCTTGGATGTTGACCTCGGTGTTGGTGGGGCACTTCGTATCGGGGTCAACGCAGGCAGCACCATATCCGGGTGTGCAACAAAAGTACTTCCTAACGGCAAGCCCCCCCCCACCATTCCCCCCATTTCACATGTTTTAATATAGGCCTTAATATGGGGGGAGGGGCTTAATTTCATTTCATGCCTATAAAACATGCTGGGACTTCCTATTGGGGGAGGCCGTATTGTTGGAGAAACAGGGTAGATGTCCATCCTCTTCTTAAAAGCCTCCAGTGTTGGAACACTCACAACTTATGGAGGCAAGTCATTCCACTGATGAACTGTTAGGAAATTTCTCCTTAGTTCTAGGTTGGTCTCTCCTTGATTAGTTTCCATCCGCTGCTTCTTGTCCTGCTTTGAAGAATAGCTTTTCTTTGTGGCAGCCCCTCAGATATTGGAAGGCTATCATGGCTAAAACATATGAAGAACAGTTGCAGAAAATGGGTATGTCTAGTTTAATGAAAAAAAGGAATAATAGCAGTGTTGCAATATTTAAGTGACTCCCACAAAGAAGAGTGATCAACCAATTCTCCAAAGGACCTGAACAAGAAGTAATGGATGGAAATTAATCGAGAACCAACCTAGAATTAAGGAGAAATTTCCTAACAGTAAAAACAATTAACCAGTGGAACAATTTGCCTCCAGAAGTTGTGTGTGCTCCAACACTGGATGTTTTTAAGAAGAGATTTGACAATCATTTGTCTGAAATGTTATAGGATTTTCTGCTTCAACAGTGGGTTGGACTAGTCACTAGACAAACGCCAAGATCCTTTCCAACTGTTATTCTATTAAGTGAATTATATGGTTAAACAAATCTGGCTTCCCCCATTAGTTTTGCTTGTCAGAAACGTTGGGAATGTCATCCATGATGATAGCATGAACCCAGGATACTACAACTGTTATTAATATCTGTCAGTTGGCAAGTACTTGAATTTTGATCATGATTGCGGGGATGCTTCTACAGTATATAGTATGAGGACTATTGAGGACCTTTTTGTGGACCATTGTAACTTTGAATGATTAGTAAAAAATGATTGTAAGTCAAGGACTACCTGTAAAAGAAAATAATTAATACATAAATTTTGATATTCTATGAAATCTAGCTATTATAAGATAAAATTATCTTCCTTTAATGACACTATGGAGGAAGTGTTGCTCATGTTTTCCAGTGTATTGAGCAAAACCAGCCAGTCTCCACAGGACAAATCTTGAATATAAAGACTGGGGTTCAAACCCCAAATTATTATTTCAGATTATATAATGAGTTATACAGCATGGAGCTTGGTTTTTAAAAATATTATTGGTTTAAAAAAATATTATTTTGTGCAAAAGATAAATATCTTGTGCAAAACATAAAATATACAGGAAAAAATGAAATAAAATGGAAAAAGAGGAAAGAGGAACGTGCAAAAAATAAGGGAAAAATAGAAAAATGGTAACTTCCAACTTTTTTCAAATAATTGCTCAAAAGCAATTATTCTTGTTGTGTACAAGAGCCAGCTTGTTATAAAACTTGGTCGAGGATTGTCGAAAGCACTGATTTCCAAGCTCAATATGGCTAGGACTGGCTGCTTACTTACACAGGCAGGGCAAGAATCATTTTGGAGAGCCATCTCGCGTTCCTCCCACCCCCTCTCAGGTCGCGACCTCTGGCTTGGCTTGCCTTGCCTGCATGCAACCGAAGTGGGGAAAGTCGGAGATAGCTTCTTCCCGCCCGAAATACTGTTTGAATCGAAGAGACCCGCCCAGCAGTCCGCCACTAGTGAACCAATCCAACGACGAGGCTCTCCGGCTCCTGCCCAGAGCTGGCTCATGATTGGTCGGATCAGACGAGGGCGGAGAAATGGAAAATCAGACAGGTTACAATGTATCCAAATTAATAGCGCGGAATGAAATGAAAAAAGCCACAGCGTCCGTCACGAGAGGGTGGGGTTGTTGTCCTGCCGAGGCTGCAGCTCAATAGTTGGGGTGGGTTTGGCACGATCTGTGCCGGCACCTCGTTTGGACGGGCAGGCGAAGGAACGGGCGGCGCTGCCTGCCACAGCAGTCCTCAGCGGCTTTCCTTCTCAGTACAACTCCGCCCCGAGGGAGCCGAGCCCCCAGAGACACCTCCCTGGGTCGGCATTCTAACAGCATCTGCAACGATCTGTCTTGTCACGACCCGACGGGTTCATTGAACCGGGCCAGCCCCTCCTTAGGGGCAGCAGCGAGGCCAGTCCTGTAACTGGTTAGGCAACACGGAGCAAAGCGCTGGCTTCTGCTCTGTTTTGACAAGTACTTGGAGAAGAGCCCACCTCCCGGGAGTGGAGGTAAGCGCCGAAGAGCGAGCAGGATTACTGCCCAAGGGAAGGCCGCCGCCGCCGCCGGAGAGGTGGGAAAAATGTAGCTAGCTCCTGCCGGCCTGTTGTCAAACGTCAAGGGTGAAATGCGATGCGGAGCATCTACGCCTGTACTTCCCGCATCCTGGAAATAGTGGGGAGTAGAACTTCTGCGGGAGCTTCGGTGCCAATACCTTCATTGCAAAAGAAAACTGCTTCTGGCAGCGCAAGAATCCTGTTCGGATGATTGTCAGTTCATTCATTTTCGCCTGTCCTTATTCCCTGCAGGTGCCTGTGCGGGCATGCAGCCGGGAAATGCCGAGATCCCGGCTGGAGACCGGCTAACCGGGGCTGCTGCCCGGGGAGATATAACTGAAGTCCGACACATTCTGCATCTGGAGCTGGTTCATCCCGACTCTCATAATCGCTTTGGCAAGACCGCGTTGCAGGTAAGTGAGGCATCACATGGTTCCTGTGTCTTAGCGAGAAAACAGTGTCACCTGGAGACACCGGTGGCCTGGGTGAAGGGGCTCTGATTCTGCAGTTTTCCCCAGTCTCAGTTCACTCCTATTAGTCTGGCACTTCTGGGAAAAGTGGCTGCTGCCCGTTTCAAGGACATCGCCCTCAACCAAAATTGATTTAGTTTGCAGCTCAAGTTAAGGCCACAGGATCCTCCCCACATTTTTATAGTTTTATAGTCAATTCCATCTTTTCTACCTTTGCATGAAAACTCACCCAGCATTTAAACATAATTGTTGTGTTTTAAATAAATAGTATACAGACACAGGCCAAAAAGCTAGTCCTATTTCCTGTTGGGTTCAAGCCAAATAGGGTCATTTAAAGGGCATGAGGTGGCTTGTTTACAACTAGTTTGGAGAAAAGATGTACACCCTATCTTGTATAATTACTGGTAGATCTGCCTAGGCTCTTCAACCAACTCCATTGTTCTGTTTTATCTTGCCTGCCTATTTCCTTTTACAACAGATAACAAGCAGAATTATGGGATTTGTGATTTTCTGTTTAGAGTCCATGAATATAATTATGGCTCTATTAGTACTGTGCAAGTTATGATTAATATAATAATTGCTTATTTAATTAATTCAGTTTTGCTGAAATCTTGCTCAAATAATTAAATCATGTATTAACTATGTATAAACTAAATTATAGTTATTTGTTTATGTCTCAGTATGTTGTTCAAACAGTCTTCAATAGAAGGTAGCCTTCCCCATTACTTCCCATAATCAGTAAATGGGGTTAAGGCTTGCCTGCTCACCTGAGAGGAGTTGAGGCTGTAAATATCCCCTGCTTCATCCTCTTTCATCTTCCCACAGGTAATGATGTTTGGCAATATCTTTGTGGCTGAAGAACTGCTAAAGCAAGGTGCCAATCCTAACATCCAAGATGGGTCTGGCACAACACCAGCCCATGATGCTGCCCGCACTGGCTTTCTTGACACCTTGAAAATCTTGGTGGAGCATGGTGCAGATGTCAATGTCCCAGATGCTTCTGGCTCACTGCCCATCCATGTTGCTATTCAAGAAGGTCACACAGATGTGGTTTGCTTCCTGGCACCTCAATCCCAACTGCAGCAGAAGGACTCCAAGGGGCAAACACCACTGGAGCTAGCAGAGCATCTCGGGCTTTCACACATCCAGTGCATTCTTGAGCAGCATCTCTCTGTCCCAGCTTAATTTCAGAAAGACCCCTCTGGTCTGGACCAAGCTAACTTTCTGCTGCCTGCTAGGCCTCTATTCCCCAAGATTGTCCTTTTTTCTCCAGAGCCCTGGAACAAAGATAGTTCCTTCTGCCCTACCTCAAAATATGTCTTTAAGTATTTGTTTCTATTTGTACATATTATATGAGTTCTCGGTACTTCTAATTTCCAGCTTTTTCCAAATGTGCCAATCCCTTGAGAATCACATTGCACTGCAGCATTTCTGCTTGACCTTCCCTAGTTACTATCCTCTTGCATTTCTTCCCTTGAAATGGTCCCCAAAATTAGAAGAAGCATTTTGGAAAACATTTAGGTTGAACAGATCTTTTTGAGAGAACAGATCTTTGTCTTTTTGAGACAAAGCCCACATTTTCTACTATACTGGGACCTCCTTCCATTACAACCTACCCCAGAATTTCAGCAGTCTGGTGATGCTTGGTGTTTTCCTTCCAGGGATATAATTCTGCCTCTCTCTTCTATTCAAAGGATATGTAAGGATCTAGCAATTCTTTGATGCATTGCACTAGATTCCTAACAAGAATTATTATATTGATTATAATAAAGCACCAACAGTAAATATATTAAGCGGTGGTTGGCAGAAAACTAGCCTTGAATGGAAAACATGATGAGGATTTTTTTTCTTTTTGGTGAGCAAGATATTCGTTCCCATTTCTCTGCCAAATATGGGGTCCAGAATTCCACAAGGTTTAATTGTATAGGAGTCTAACATTTTTTTTAAAGTTTTCACCTATTTTGTGATTTTTCTAGTTTCTATCTCAGGAGATCTTATGATTCCTGAGCCATTAGTAGCTGTTTCCCTCTTGACATTTTGGTGTTTGGCCCTGCCTTTTATGCACTTCTAAAGTGTGCTGAATCTTTTATCTTTGGCTAAAGTGTTTAAGGCTTGTTTTGAAGGCTTGTTCCCTGTGATGAATTTGTGGATTCAAGCAATGTATATAGTAGGTTTTAAAGGAGGCAAAATATATTCTATTTATTGTGATTTGCAAGGATAAGTTTTATGGAATGACTAATTTAATTATTAAAAACATTAAATCTATTTTTGATTTACTGACATTTGATTTTGGGAAACACTCTAAGGTGAAATCTTTTTGCTTTCAAGGGGCTCATTCTGGTGTCTTTATTAAGAGTACCCTGCTCTTGCCAACCCTCTGTACTAAATGGAAGAGGGCTGCTTCATATCACAGTCCTGAAAGCCTTACCAACTTTGAAGATTTGTATGCATTTGTATGCAGCACCATTAAGAATGCTATAGAATCAGAATCCTTTCTACATATGATTCTCAAGAACAGACATGTCAAATTCAAGGCCCACGGGCCAGATCCAGCCCGCAATGTGGTTAGATCTGGTCTGTGGAGACACTCTGGAGACCCTCCAGCCCAGCTGGAGCGCTCCCCCTGAGCGTGCGCACAGGAGATGGAGAAGGCATAGGGGCTGGTGTCCCCGATGAAAGGGAAGCGCTTGCAGGCTGTGGGACCAGCAGGCGAGGCTGGGCTGGCAAGCACGTGTGGGGACCGGTATCCTGGTGAAAGGAAAGTGCTCATGGGCTGCAGGGCCAGTGTCAAGGCCAGGCTGGCGAGTGGGCCGCAGAGATGCTGGTGGCAGGTGCAGCACTGCTGCTGGGAGTCTACACACTGATCTACAACACTTTCGTGGCAGCCACAGCCATCCAGCCATACCCACCTAGTCACAGCAACCCAGCCATGACTAACATGGTTGCTATGCGTTGTCATAGTTTTACATGCAACTGACCCTTTGAGGGCAACTATAATGCTGATGCAGCCCTCAATTAAATTGAGTTTTACACCCCTGCTCATGAACACACTTCTAAAGGTTGGAATCCTCTTCTATAATTAAGTTGCTTCTAATGATACTTCCTTTTGTGATATTAGAAACACTTATCCTATGGACAAAATTTAGTGACCGTGAGTTGTAGCAACAAGAACTTTGGGAACTTTAATAGATTTTTGAATTTACCCAGGATCCTGGGCTTACATTTATGGGATTTTTAAAACTTCTTAAAAGCTTTTTGAGGAAGAGGATTCCCAGACTCTGGTTAGTCGTCGCACATGTAACATGCTGGACTAACATATTTGGCTATCCAAGTCTGCCAGTTCCTGGGGCCTATTTGCGTCAGTACCTCTTTTGCTGACTGTACCATTCTCTCTGCCTACCCATTGCTAGCAGGATGAAATGATGCGACGCTATGACCTGCCAGGAATAGTTCAAATTGGTTAGACGTGAGCTGTGGCCCATTGTCTGACACCAGGACGTCTGGTAGTCTGGGTTGCAAACACTTTTTGTAGTGCTTTGATGACGGCATCTGAGGTGGTTGATGGCATTAGTACCACCTTCAGCCATTTGGAGTATGCATCGACAACCACCATGAATGTCTGACCCTGGAATGGCACTGCAAAATCAATATAGACCCTTGACCAGGTGTTTTGGGTACTTCCCACTTGCATGCAGGAGCGGACGGGGGTGCTGGTTTCGACTCTTGGCACGGTTGACAAAAGGCAACCCATTCAGCGATGGCTTTATCCATGTTGGGCCACCAAACATAACTGGGCAAGTGCCTTCATTCTTACAACGCCTGGATGGCCTGCATGCAAGGCTTCCAGGACTGGTCACCGCAGCTTCTGTGGGATTATGATTATTCCCCCAAAGTAAGCAACCCTGTTGAGCTGACTGTTCATGTTGCCAGGCGTGGAAAGGCAGGAACTTCATATTGACTGGCCCTTTGGTTCACCCCTTCCACACCCAGTTGAGAATTAGGCGATGACCTGGTCTTTGGCAGAATATTTGGTGATCTCTGCCACTGTAATGGGGCTGGAGGCAGTTCCTCAAGTAGGAGAATGCGGGTGATCAGTGCTGGTCCTCTACAATGGTCAGGAATGGGCATCGGCTGAGGGTGTCAGCGTGGCTCAGGGACTTACCCGGTCGATGTATAGGGCGGTAGCTATATGCTGCCAGGAAAACTGTCCAATGCATCATGCGAGGGGACAAAATGTTTGGTGTTTGGTGTCTCTGGCGAGTAGGCCCAATAGTGGCTTGTGGTCTGTCACAAGATCGAAAGGACTGCCGTATAGGTATTCATGGAACCATTTGACTCCTGCGACCGCAGCCAATGTTTTCTTGTCCAGCTGACTGTAATTCCATTCAGCTGATGATAAAGTTTGTGAATAGAATGGGATTGGAGCCTCTTCTCCATTTGGGACTTGGTGGCTTAGGACTGCTCCCATGCCAAATGGGAAGTATCGCAGGTGAGAACTAATGGAAGGTTCTCATACTGTACCAGGACGCTGTTAGATGATAAGTCCTTGACAGTGGAGAACACGGCAGCTTCTTTTGTGCCCCAGGACCATGACATTTTTTGGCTAGCAGTCTGTGAAGAGGCTCAGCTACTGAAGCTTTGTGCGGCAAGAATACACTGTAAAAATTTAGGAGTCCCAGATGTAAATGCTTGGGATCCAGAAAATGAGGATGATGCCAAGAAACTTGCTGACTTTAAACAGAACAACGAACGAACTCTTTGTATAATTGGACTAACACTGAGTGACCAGCAGCGTGTCCATATTCGTGGAGAAGAGTCTGCTGCTAAGTGTTGGGAGAATTTGAAGAGGATTTATGTTCGTGACAGTGTAGGTGCACACATACATCTTACACGTAAACTGTTTAGAGCACGTCTTCTGAAAGGTGGAGATATGTTAGCTCATGAAAAGAACTTTTCAAGAGCCACATGAAAAAGAACTGATATTTTCAGAGCTGCATCAAGTTTACATCATTCTTTCCTTGTTGGATGAAAGTTATGATGATTATGTATCTTCACTGGAAGTCCTGCCCAGAGATAAACTGACATTGACTGACATAACTGGAAGATTGTTAGAAGAAGCAAGAAGACGGCTGGATAGGGACTAACTGAGGAAGGAACAACCACAAGAAGAGAATTTGTCTTCAACTGCCTATAATGTTAGGAAATGTTTTTCTTGTGGGGCTAGGGGACATATAGCTAAATTCTGTAAGAAGGGAAAACAACAGAATACTAGTAAACACCAGAAGGCTAAGAAGAATGTTAGTTTAGCTATGTCTAGCAATTCAACTGTAAACAATGATTTGTGGGTTGTTGATAGTGGAGCATCACAGTGCATTACTAAAGATAGAAAAAGGTTTGTAAAGATGTCCACGAGTAAACAACATGTATCATTGGCAAATGGATGGAAGATTAAAGCATCAGGTGAAGGTACTGCATATTGTTCTTGTATAAACGAACATTTAACTATGTTATATGTACCTAAACTGAAATTCAATTTGTTATCAGTAAGGGCTTTAGTTAATATTGGGTATGTAGTAACCTTTAGGGGAGATAACTGTATAATAGAGAAAGAGGGTAAAAGTGTTACTGCTACTTTAAAAAATGATTTATATGTGATACATGATGATCAGTTGAAGATGGCTAACTCAGTTTATAACAATGTTAAGCCACATGATGAATTATACATTTACTACATAGACGTCTAGGGCACATTAATTTCAAAATGCTCAAACAAACTCTTGAATTGTCAGAGGAGTAAAATTGAAACCCTGTAGCAAGTATTTAAACTAATGCTTGTAGTCAAGAAAAGAGTAAGGTTACTCCAGCAAACAGACTTAATGGGTTTGAGACCAAAGAACCTTTAGAGGTTGTTTTTGCTGACATAATTGGTCCTAAGAAACCAAGTTTAGGAGGTGCCTGTTATATTTTGAGTATTATGGACCATTACTCACGGTACGGTTTCTGCTATCTTATGAAAAACAAAACAGAAACATTCCAACATTTCTTTAACTGGCTAAGGTTTGCTGAGAGAAAAATGAAAAGTAAACTTTAGTTACTGATAATGGGGCTGAGTTTGTTAACAAGAGATTCCAAACAATGTTGAAATTGGCTGGTGTTGAGCATAAACATTCTGCACCGTACAGACCACAACATAACTCATTTATAGAACGAAGAGGGCAAATGTTACAAGCCATGGCTCGCACTATGTTATCTGATTCAGGTTTACCTGAAACACTGTGAGGTGAGGCCATAATGTGTAGTAACCATGTTTTAAACAATGTAGTTAACACAACAACTGGAGAATTGCCATTCACTCGTTGGCATGGCAGAAAGCCAAATTTAAGTTGCCAACACACATTTGGAGCTCCAGCGTGGGTGCATATTCCTTCACAAGTAAGACTGAAAGGGCAACATAGAGCTAAAAAGTTATTTTTTGTGGGTTACGAGGCCAACCATAGATCGTTTAGATTCTGGGATCCAGGCACAGCTCATGTTTACTGTAGTGCTAGTGCATAATTTCTCGAGCACGTTGGGTGGGATAAACTGGAACAGGAATCCAGCAATGATATTATTATTGACACCCAAATAGTCCCTAAAGATAAAATCAGTAAAACACGAATAGCCATTAAAGAGGAAGCACAGGAGGAAGTAGTAAAACAGGCACAGGAGTAGGTAGAAGAACAGGAGCAGGTGGCACACATGAGTCCACCAGTAAGCCCTGTATTACCAAGACGTTCAACCCGAGTAACATGACCACCTGATAGATATCAGGCTAGTGTTGTATGCCAAGTTAATACAGTTCCAAGAAACTATAGTGAAAAACTATAGTAAAACTGTATCCTGCTAAGGATCAGGCTGCTTGGCAGAAAGCAATGGATAAGGAACTGGAATCATTAAAAAGACTGGAGGTATACGAAAATGTTAAGTTACCACCAGGTAAACATGCCATAGGATGTAAATGGATATATAAGCTAAAGACAGGTGTAGATGGGACTGTTACCCACAAAGCCAGGTTAGTAGCACAAGGGTTCAATCAGACAGCAAATGACTATGATGAGGTGTTTGCACCTAGTCTGAAGGCTACTACATTAAGGGCAGCATTAGTGTGGGCAGCTAAGGAGAAATACATTGTAAATCATTTAGATGTAGAGACAGCTTACCTGCATGCACCGTTGCAACATACTATATATTTA